AGCTAAATGAGCCCTCGATAGCTCCATGAGGCAGCGTGGCTGTTATGCTGGGATGCAAAGCAGGGCTGGAGTCCTCTGGGCAGTGCCCTGTGCTACCCCATGTGCAGGCTGCTGCCTACGAGGAGGTGTTTGGGGCTTGCGTTTGGGGTGCAGTAATTTCCCTGTGGCTCTAGAATGGACAGGAGACAGGAATGTGGGAAGCATGCCCTGGGGCAGTTGGGGTCAGGGATGCTCGGCTGGATGTGGGGGTCTCCACAGCAGAGAAAACCAAACTCGGAAAGAGAGCAAACGAGGAGCCTGACTACGGTGTAGTCATTGATACTCGGTTGGGAATGGGGAGTGGGATGCATGTCCAGATTACACTTTTTAAATAAATGAATAGAATTATTTGGAGAGAGGTGGAGTAGAGCCTGTGGCAGTCATGTATTTCCTTACTCAGTCTTTTTTATCCTGTCGTACATCTTGTACTGGAATACTTAATTGGGCCTCACTAGATCTTTGCAAAAATGAGTGCCCACGTACACGGCAGTACAGCACTTCTTCCCACCTCTGTTGTATGACCTTGTCAACGATTCAGTTCTCCCTTTTAAAATTTTTATATATATGTGCATATTCTTAGCCTTTTCTGTGTTGAAAGTGTCCTCAAATTTTATCGAAATCTTCCTAATCAGGGAAAATATTAAATGTAACCCGTGCTTAAATAGGTCATTGAATTTCATATAGACTAATGGTTGAGCTGTCAGCAGTGCCTGTTGACATTTTCCCCATGCCAGTTTCTTTTCCACCTTTTAATTGTTACAGTAAGTTCCCTTTTCTGCACTTTAGCTGATAGATCTCCGGTATAATTTAATCTTGTCTAATTTGCAGTTGATAAATCCATGTCGTGCTTTATCCATTTCCTTTTTTTCCCCCCACCTGGTATTTCTGCAGCTTTGCACTTTATTATATCAACCATTGAATGAGTCTGTGGCTGTCAAACTCGCTCTGCTTATTAACTGTCTTTTGTAAATAGATCGAAGCTGTGTTTTTCATGCTCCAGCCTAAGCAAATATCCATAATGTGACAGTTTAAAATTAAAATCTTGCCATCTTGACATGTTGTTTGTACCGATTCTGAGCAGGTGATGAGTCAGGTCCCCTGTAATTAAAATATTTAATGCTCTTTAAGTTTTTCCTGAGATAAAATGGGATGTGGTTGTTTTAATTTCTCTCAGTAGTGCCTGTGTGCTTCTCCTTACTGATGACAACTGAGGTGAAGTGTTAATGTGTCTTCTAAGTCATGCCTACACTGTCTTCCATGCCTACGCTGTCTTCTGCCTTTACCTTATTATTGCTCCTGAGCATTGTCCCAATTTGTATCTTGTCCTATTCCTTCTTAAAAAGGTTAGGGAACCTCTCTTTTCCCGGCTTCTTTTAATTCTCTTTATAGGGTCTAATTCAGCTTGATTTTCAGCAATTTGTATTTTATACTTTCAGACCAACAAATGTATGGACCTTTTAAACTCATTTTAGTCCTTTTATTTCTTTTCTGTAGTGGGATGAAGAATTTGAACATGAATAATGTAAATTAAGAGAAAAGCAAGTAGAATGCATGTTGTATAGCATTGAATAGGCATCATCCGAGAACTTTTGAAATTAATGGAGAAGTTTCTATTGACTTCAGTGACTTACTGATCAACTCATGCCAGCAATGGCAAGTGGGAGCATATTTATGATTGTTTTACTTTAAGGTTTTAAAAGTTAGCATAATAAAAAGTAAAACAGAAATCTTTCATAGAGGAAATAAAGGAAGCTCAGTGTCTTATGTGGTGAAAATAGAGGGCTTTTTATTATACTGTCAGGGTCTGTTACTTATTGCAAAGGGTAAGTTCAGAAGTTCAGTCTCGTTCATAGCTTTTTCAGAATAACACTTTCAGAAGAGTTATTTGAGAGAAATGTAACCAACTGAAAAACCATACACTATGGGAGACTTTAAAAGGGGTGAAAGCTTATTCCAATTAAGTCTCCATAGGTTGGCAGAATGTTAACAACAATATACAGGAGAGACTTTTTTTTTTTTCCTTTAAAAAGTGTCCTTGGCATTGTGGAAAAAACCTGCAGGAAAGATGATGTGCTGATCAAGAGTAAGATTTTTATCTAAAAGTATTGTAGAAAGTTCTAACTCCCTATAAACTTTTTTTATGTGGTACATAGCAAGTGTATTTATATTACAGGAAATAATGATAGAGATTAAATAAAACAATGAAAAATTTTTTAATGACTTTGTATGAAAGAAGTGTCTGATTCCAGGCAGACATAGACTAAAACTGATCAGTTGTACTGCCTGTTTTCTTAAGTTATTCTTTACAAACAGGTACCTATTTTTTAATGTGATTCATTAACTGATCTTGAAGTCTTAACATAAGTTTAATTTTCTAATTCTTAAAATAAGACTGAGGCTCACTTATTTATAAACAGATTGTTAGTCACTCTTGGTTCTCCTATATTAGATAAAGTTCTCCACTCAACTGCATTTAAAAAAAAAAAAATTCAGAATGAAGAAATAGGATCTTGAAGTCTTCATGGTAATGGAGGCTCTAAGGAAGACTGATAAACTTGAGCTTTAAATTGTTTGAAAAAATCCCTTTCTCAAGTTGCTTTCCCATCCCAGGAGATTTAAAAAAGAAAGAAAACCTGTCACTTAAAGGGCAGGTGAAAAGTTTCATTAGGAGATACCCTGCATATTCTATGTTAAGTTACCTCAGGCCTCAGTTCAGGTTCGAGGCTTGGATTACATCCTGTACCGTGCAATAAGTTGTGTTTTAGCAGTTGCATTGCTGAAGTGGGAGAATGTAAAATAAAAACTATCAACAGAAAGTAGTTTGGGGGTTTTTGACCTTTGATTTAATTGTGGAAAATTATATTGGAATAAAATTTATCCAGCTCTGTTTGGGGAAACGTGGGCTCTGAATGGATGGATTCATTCTGATGGAGGGACAGGATCCAAACCCCTGGTGCCTCTCGGAGCTCAGTCAACCAGGATGCAGTGCAATCTGCTTTTGATCTAGCCAAGCTTTTGAAAATGTGCTAGACATGATGCCTGAACATTAGGCCCACTGAAGTCTCAGCAGGCTTTTCAGTTGAGAGCCAAGTCTCAAATTAGAAAGCATTGAATCAAATAGATGAATGCTGAACTTGGAGAAAATTACTAAAAAAATTCATCTTGACATTCAGTTGGAACAGAAGACATCTTAAGAACGTGGACAGATCGAGGGCCATTTTGCAGGAGAAAATAATACTGCTGGCACCTTTCTCCTTCAGCTACTTGAAGGTATTCTGTCTTGAGAGTAAGCCCAGAGAGCTAGATGAGCTGTCTGCTGCCTTTCCCAGCCTTTTCCTGGAAGAGCTTTGCTCAGGTCACCTTCTGTAGCTGGTTTTAAATAATGAATGTGTTTGAGGATGTTAACAACTTCATTTCAGTTGATTTCAAAGAAAATTATCAAAGTCAAGTTGTATCTGAAACCTGCTAGCAGTTGAGTAGATTCGTATTAATAGTGTTGGATAGTGCAGCACCTCGTGTTCTTCACCTACACTGCGGTGGGGCTCTGGCAGGTTAGAACTGCCTGCCTTCTGTAAGGGGGACTTGCCAGAGAGGGGTCATCAGTGCTTTGCGTTGGTGGCGATGCTGCAGATGGCTCTCGTGTTTCAGGTCCTTGCTGGAGACTTCCAGCAGATCACTTGCAAGGCAATAGAAAAAGTACTTTCTATTTCATGGTCTTGGGAAACAGGGCTGTCAGTGTTTCATTTGAACATCTGAGCTAGGTTAGTTAATTCAGAGTGGGAAACAGTATAATTCTTAGTTACACTACCATAGAACCAAAGGATGTCTTTAAAGTCCTGTGATTCCCTAAGAGAGTAGTCGGTCACTGGAACAGGCTCCCCAGGGATGTGGTCACAGCACCAAGCCTGTCAGAGTTCAAGGAGTGTCTGGACGACCCTCTTAGTCATATGGTTTAGTTTTAGGTAGTCCTGCGAGGAGCAGGGAGTTGGACTTGATGATCCTTATGGGTCCCTTCCAACTTGAGATATTCTATGATTTTGAGCAGGAGGATAGGTGAAACCCATTTTTTTTATACTTAAATTAGCATGGAAGCCAGCTTAAGAGGTAGAATCAATGGTTGCAAGAGAAAACATTCATAAAGATAACCTCACTCGGGTTAGCCAGATATCTTGTCGTTAAATTATATAGCTGTCTTCACTAATTGCGTTGAACTCTGTATGTCTTCTTTTCTGAATGGAAATGAAAACTGCCCAGCTGTGTGTTAGTTGTACCGGTAAGGCAAATGTTGTGTTCTTCCAAGTAGAAGAGGCTTGTGGTGAGACCTCAGCCTGACTTGGCTCATTCCCAGCAGCTGTGAAATGCTGAACGGACACTGCCTGTATTACACTGAGAACCACAAAACTGTGCTAAACTGCAGATTAGCTGAAGTGTTAGTCAGGATTTTACCCATACTATGACAATTAGAGGACTGAGCCAAATATATATATATATTTTTTTTTTTAGATTAATTAGATTAGACAAAGAGACAACGTGCAGGTATTTGTAACTGTATGAAAATAGTGCTGTACTGTTTCTTCAAGCTAATAAGTGATACTGCTGTGAGTGGGGATGACTTGTAGAATATATATTTGAGTATATATCATATTTTTACATGTATCGTTGTTGATGCTGACGGAAAGAAAAAGCATGTTACATATTTGCTGTTTTCCATCTTCCCTGCCTCTCGCTTTCTATGCCCAGTCAGTTGACGGCTTGAATTCTGTCTTCCTTGGCCCTTGAGTAAGGCGATCTGAGGGGGAAGTGTTCAAACTGCTTACTAAGCTCAGGCAGAAAACATCACTCTGCTCACTGACACAATATGTTGAATGATGAAAAGCTACAGCATTTCCTATCAAAGCTATTTTTCTTCCTGGTATCACTATGGGAGAGTATTACTGACTTGCGTTTGCATCCATTTGCAGGAATCTCGGTGGCCTTACTTATTTGGAGCGATCATTGTTCCTTCATTGATACAAATCGTGATTCTGCCTTTTCTTCCTGAAAGTCCTCGTTACCTCCTACTTGAAAAACATAACGCGAGCAAGGCAGAAAAAGGTATGATGTGTTACTTTGTTGCAACAAAGGATGTTTATTGTAGGGATGCAGGCTGAAAAGTAATTCTGATACCACAGTAAAAGCAGAATATTCCAATAGGAGAAATTCTCTTGGCAAGTTTTTTTTCCCCTCACCTTTTTTGTTTGTCTGTGTGTATGTGTAAAAATAACTGTTGCTTTGATTTTTTTTAAATAAATTAAATTCTCCAACAAACTAACCTATATAGCAATATGCATGGTGATACAAACCTAACCAAATCATCCTCCTGTTGTGTGTCAGCCCCTATATGCAGGGTTCATTCGGGAATGAAAGATGATTTCAGTCTTCATGACTCTCTCTTAGCCAAACTGCAAAGACTGTAGATAACAAAAATACCGATACTGTGGCCGGGTTTTGTTCAGTAGTCACTGTATTTGACCATGTGTTTCTGTAACTCATTAACATTTGTAGATCTAATAAAAACTTTGTACACCTATTTAACTGAAGTTTTTCAGTGTTTCCATATAGCTTGCTTCAGTTTCAAAGACACGGACCAGAAGATTTTGTCCTTTCTTTAGGTTCTATGTATAAAAAAATTTGCTTGGGTGATCACAACTGCTGTATACTCTGCCCCACTACTAAGGTTATTATGGTCATTTGTAAGTTCCAGTATATCATCATGTTATGATTGAGAGAATATTGAAAATAATTTTTTCCGTACTATAAGGATGCATTAAAAATAGGAGTGTACAAAGAAGGAAGGAGCCTGATTATAATACCAAGATGTTTGCAGAACATAACTGAGCTTTGAAAATTATTCCTAAAAAACTTCATTTGAATATAACTCTTAACATTTTCAGTTGCTTGCAAAATCACCTGCAAATTGTGAATCAGCCCCTGAAACGTAAATTTAATAATCTTTCAGCATGAAATGAATGCAACTCACTTGATCTTGTTTCTTCTACTATGAAATGAAAAACTGGCCTTTTTTGTTCTGATGAGCACTCTGAAATAGAAATGGCATACTAATGAAGAGACTCCCATGTTGTCTCAGTTTGGTACTGAATGAAGAATTTTGTAAATGTTGGAGCCTCAAACATTTAAAGATACAGTAGAGTGTTTAAAAAAAAAAGAAAAAAGGAGAGAACAAAAGCAAGAAGACGTTGGGGAGAGTTCTTTAGCTTTACAGAGTCAGGAGAGATTTGGTGAGGTAGAGAACAGGTTTTCCAGGGACCATGAAGGAAAGGGCTTGCCTGCCAGCGATGGTCAGAGCACCCAGCAGGGACTCAGTGGTGAGCAGCTTGGGGCTGGCTGTTGGGTAGTAACTTCTGCAGCACCACGGCTGGGCTGGGAAGAAATACCTTTGGGTGCCAAGTTTAAACTGGCTCATTGCTAGCTGATAAAATTGTAAATGTATTTCCGGAGCTATGGCTGGCAAAGAGTCCGCGTCTGCAATGCTGTTGCATAATATCACACTTGTTATAGGGATCTATTGGAAATACTGCCACAGTACCTGAAAACCTCAGCACTGCCAGTGAAGCTGGGCCTCTTACAGGTAGAGTTTAAAAACTGTAAAAAATTGGCAGTAAAATAACACCACCTGCCTTGAAATTCACACCATTTACTGTTGCTGGTAATGGGCCAACTGCAGTCTGGGATGTTTTCGGCATACGTGTTCTGAAAATGATTTGAAAGCTAATCTAGAAGCATTGGAGGTGGATTTTGGAGTAGAAGACATCAGGAGAGCAGTTACCCACACCTTATTTGGTAGTTGAAGGGAAATGAGCTTTAGCAGCTGACTTGCTGATTATGAGAAAGTGGCTTTCATGAGCCACCTTAAAGACTATAAATTTAGACACTGAGAAAAAAAGAGGAGGCTGATATAAAAAACTTTTCAAAGTAAGTGCTTATCAATAGAAGCTTTTGGACCTGATTAATTCTAAAATACAAATTTAATACTGAGATATGTTGTAGTACAGAGTGAAACTCATTTTGAGTGTAGTCTACAGAGCTTTCAAAACAGCTAGGGACCAATGATTCTAGACAGAGATTTGCAAAGGACCATAGGGCAGTGAGGTGTACACATCCCCTTGAATTTCCCTCCCATTCCTTGCCTATCAAGCAGCCATGCTTCCAGAATTGGCCACCTTTTTGCACGGGCAAGGTAGCCTGTAGGGTATCAGCTGCAAAATAGGTAAGGATGATTCTTAAACATCATTTTGGAGTTCATAATCCATAAAATCCACCTGTAAGGCAGCATAGATCATATCATTTTACGCTTCTGTGCTATAAAGTGTCTACATACCTTATTATGAAGCATGTTAGGAACACAAGTAATTTTCTTACCATTGCACATCCTTTGTAATCCCCTCTCCTAATGTAGATTTGCAAGTGAGAGTATCTTTGGATCTCTGTTCAGCATGGGGGTAGGTGGGGAAGGAGTTGGGTTGATTCATGCAAGGACCGGGCAGAGGACACCTCTGATGTTAGCCCAGAGGTGGGGTTTGGAGCCCTCCTCTCTGCCCCAGGGCACTTGGAGAAATCCAGATTAGGCACGAGCCAAGTCTCAGGTATCTGGAGTAATGCAGTGGAATAATGAAAGCGAGTGGGGGGGAATTCACAAAATAGGAGGGTGAATAGCTGTGAATCAACAATCAAGAAAAATCATCTGGATGTTAGCATTATCTGCAGAAATGGGGGAGGAAAAGCCTGAGTATTAGGGAGACCAGAGGAGTTTGTGGGTTATTTGGAAAAAAAAAACTACTGCTTGTAAGCCATATAATGACAATGCAGTATTCTCCATTTTAATGATGACTACAGTAATGCTTTTGAATTATTTGCCTCTTAGGTTAAATCTGCATATTAATACCAGAAATGTGCAAGTCTTTCTTCTGACTAAATCCTTTTTCTTTCCCCTAACGGATCAAGGCTATTCAAGCAAATATACATTTCACTGTGGATTATATCTTGTTGGAGAAATATAAAACTGTTATTTGTTAAAGGTCTGCTGTATTTAAGTCAGATGACTACATTAGTCTTTATAAAATACTCTAAAATGTATGTGTATGTCAAAGCTTCTAAAATGGAGATGGCAACATTAATCTCCCTAATTGTTTTAGAGCAATAAAAATCCAGTGGGATAATGTAGGTCATGGAGCTTCCACAAAGTTCTGCTCCTGCTTTCATCCCCTCCTTTTCTCCTGTCCTTAGGAGATAACCAGACTATAACTACCGAAATACAAGCGGCCTCATTCTCTTTTTTGGCAGAGGTGTAAAAGAGCATGATGCCTTTAAGTGGCAAATAAGAGACTGAAAGAGGGAGAAGGACCAAAATGTGTTGTGTAAGTGATGAAAAAAGAGCAGGGGTGAGGTTAGAGCAGGCGGGCATCGTGTGCGATTGTAAACCATGCCACCACAAGAGAAGCTACTCCATGAGCACAGGAGTATCAAGGCCCCAGATGAGTGATGTCTCCTGAGCTCCACTAACGGGGATCTACCCGGTTCCCTGCTTTCCCCTTTCTAGCAGCGTAAACAGTGCACGCTGTGGGTGGCTGAGCTGCCATTCGGACACTGTAGCTGACTTGCAGTTGTCTGCTGCCAAAAGCAATGCTAGCAGCCAAGTTCTGCTTGTCCTCCTGGAGGTCACCATCCTGTATCTGACTCCCTGAGACCAACAGGAGCTGAACTATCTCCCATATTCCTGTCTCACTGCTGAATGTAGGAGAACTGATTTATGTGTTGTGGGGCGAGAATGGTGGACTGGACCAACAGCACAATCCATAAACCTGCTTTGCTCAAAAGCTAGAAGTCTGGTAATGGGGAGAGGGAAGAACCATCCCAGCTCCCCTCCCAGGTCCCATAACTAACATTCTTCTCTCTTGGTAAGAAAAGAAGGGAGAAAAATGCCTGACATTTAACTGGTGTGATCCTTCTTCATAATGCTCACCAGACAGTGGAGGAGAAATGGGTATTCAAGTGATTGAGGAGAAGGACTTTGGAAGGAGATTGTTATTCAGTTGCTAGGGAGCAGTGGGAGTGAAGAGTAACAGGGATAGAAACAGGAAGAAAAAGAAAAACCTGCTGCTATAATTACATCAGGCAGTTTACTATCCAAGCTCTAGGATGGTAAGACAGGAATTTGACATTAGTTGTCTATTAGTTGCATGCCAAGTGGACCCTTGATCTGTGACTGTGGCCATGATGCAATATAAATAAAAACAGTAGTAGCAGTGTGATAAAACAGAACAGTTTTATCACTAACTACGTTGCTTATAAACACTCTCAGTTGTTGTGTCTCTCTTGAAGAATACTGTTACAAGGAGGAAACCTGAATTTTCAATGCAGCTACAGTAGCATGTCGTGTAAATCAATACTGGAATTCAGCTGGCATCCCAGCTTGCCAGAGAACAAGAATATTGTTATGTCTTAAGGGTCAAATAACTTAGATATAATGCCACAGTAACATGTTAGTGATGTACAAAATCTGTTCATCTAGTATGTTCAGTCATACATTAAAACTCCCATGGTTATGAAAGAAGCATTATACCAGGTATAATGAGAAGTGTAGATTTAAATTCTTAGAAAGATGATGGATTAGAGTTGTTACCTTTTGATGTGATAAAAAAGTGAGGCCATTCCTGATTTAAAAAGGCAGGTAGCTAATTTTTTACAAAGCCCCTCATGGGACCCACATGGACCTAAGTGACGGGGGGGAATGGAAACAGGTCCCTGCTCAGGGTGCCAGGCAAACCCCCGCCCGGCCTCCCTCACCTTCCCGGTTGCCCTTACAGAACAGATATAGGGCCCTGGAACTTGAGGGCCAGGCAAACGAGGATGTAGATGAAGGTCCATCCAGGAGGTTGCCTAGGGTGAGGCAGTCAGCCCCACGCATTATGACTGCTTCTGGTAGAAAAAAAGGAGGGTGATTGTCATAGGC